AGAAACTTTAAAACAAAAACTTTTAGTAATGCCAATCGGCAATTTATGTTTGGTGCTATAAATTTTATTACACACACTTACAAATGTAACACTTTAAATGTAAGTAAGTTTTCTGTTTAATGTGATTTTGTCACGTAATTCCTTTTATTTGTCAACAGATGGCACCACAAATCTTTTCAATTTTCAGGTGTCACTTTCATAATGCTGTATTTTCATTTATAGGAACATGAAAACTTAAGTGTTTAATTTTCTCTTTTGGAAATTACTTTCATTTTACTTTGTACGAGAATCATTATGCACTAAACTACAACAGTTAAAAAAAGTCCAGTAGAGAGAACTTAGAATTATTTCACTTAAACCCATCCACTGAATATCGGTCCTCATAATGAACACAAGTTAGCGGGTGGATGATTTAAAAAAATATCACTTTTCACTACAGTTATTAGTGAAATTTATAAAATAAAATGTAATGACATCAAAGCAAGCAGAAACATCAGCTTCTGGATACGTTCCAGTTCATCGATTTAAGATTTTGTTCTCTGGTCCATATCTAATGTACTTTTATAAATCACTTGCTGATATAGTGCCTCAGTGTTTGACTTTTAAAAACTTTGAGAAAAAATACTTTTTACTTTCATTAGCAAGCAAACTTCTTGGACTCTTTTATTACATTCCAAAATTGATACAGTGCATGGTAATACAAGAGAGAAAGCTTAATCAGTTTCAGTCACTGTATAAGTACGTGAGAACTTTCAACCACGTAGTTTGTTTTAACCTTTTTTTTTTTTTCCATTATTACACAGAAGCCAGCAAAGAAAATTTTGCAATCTGAAGAGTTTTTAAACAGGAAATATTAACCAATAACTGTCTTATCAAAATTCTGTTAAGTGCCTATCAGAATCTGGAACTAAGCAACTTGTTGGAATGTTACAAAAACTAGCAAAACTTTATAAAAAAAAAGTTACTGAAAGGCAAAAAATGGGTTAGGTGGATAATGGAAATTAAGCCTTACTGTTAAGTAATTTTTTGGATATTTTTGGTGGGTAATCCAGTTTATCAGGCAGACCAGGTGGACTCACACAGATCTTTGCTACATGTAAGTTATTGGCTTGAAATAGCATTACATCAGCAAAGTGGTCCTAACATTCGTTTCTTATAATAAATTATAGAAATCTTTAAGAATCTCAACAACAGCAACGTAACTGTTTCAAAGCATCTTACATTTTGATTGTAGAAATAAAACTTTGATCATAATAAACATGTCATTCCTTAAATAATTCTAAAATCAATTTTACAGTCATGTTAAACAAATATAAAGAAAAATTTTAAAAATTAAACTTACTGAACACTTCAGTACACATCATTTAAACGCAAATAACATAAGGAATAATTCTTCCATTAGCTCAATTTTTTTATTATTTTTTGAACAACTAAAAACTACCGAGTGAAACTTGTACTACCAAACCTTTGGTATAGCTTAGCTGGCTGATATTTCATTGTAAACTGTAACCCATCCAAGTTAAAATGTCTTTGGAATAAGATATTCGGTCTAACTGAGAGGGTATACATAAAGCAGAGTAGTACTAAGCTGGACACAACATTACACGTCTAAACACTAACACAGCTGAGAATGAAAGGTGTGGTCACTTTACTGTACACCACATCTAGCTGCAGGACATGATTTCAACTCTCTCCAACTTCTTGAGCTGTAAGTAATAATCAAATATACAAAGTTATTTTATATACACTGTTGAAATATTTTTTGATGCTATTTTTGAGTTTCCTAAGTGAAAAATCAAGACTAAGAAGAATTCAAATTACTTATTGGAAATATGTAATTGTACAACTAAGCTGTCAATGCATATTAAAACACACACAAACACTAAACTATACTCAGTTTTTCACATATGTAAGATATTTGTATAACATATTTCTGGGATTTTAATAATACAGTATTTAGCACAATTTAGAGATACCACATTATGAAACAAATATGAAGCATTAATATCTCATGAATCCTAACTGTGATTACTGCATTACGCTAAAATTTGTTATATTACTATTACTTTTTAGTGTTCCATAAATTATTTCTGACTTTTGGAATGTTAAAAAGATAAATCCCATTTAACAAACTCAAATATAATCTTACCGTGGCTCTATGATAACTCCTTATAACTGATTATAAAATGAGTTGCTGAACACAAAACACATGAAAAACAACATTTTCTATATTACAACCATAAAAGTTTTCGGTCAGGGATAAAAACAGCTAATACAACTTTTAGATGATCCCAGGGTCCTGACCCATAAAGGCTGGGAATCCAGGAGGGTCTAATGAGCTCTCTGTCTCATTCTAGGCCATTTTGGAAAAAATTCTACGTTCACATTTTTTACTGCTAGGATAGTCAGTAAACATTAGACTTTTGTCACTTTTACTCATCATCCAAAGATCTAAAATACGGAACATTTAAGTACAAAACGGTCATTTCAGAAACACTAAGACAATACTTATATAGACAAGTTTCTACTAAGGCAAGTTATCAATCCATCATTCATAAACAGAGTTTTTTTAAGAAGCAAATATAAAAACTACATTCATTTTCCTAAAGAAAAAAAAGTTAGCTAAATTGACTAATGTCTTATAAGTCTGGAATTCTCTAGTTCCATGTTTAAAAAAAAAAAAAAATATTTAGAACATCTCATATTTGATAAGTTTGTAATACATTTTCATTTGTAACAAAATATATTTAATTACTTAAAAACATTTTGCCTTATACCTACTCCCCCCAAAAAAAACACATCTATCTCTTGTCCAATTTAGGCTCCATCTAAATTATTTTGCACGTAAAAATAATGTCCAATAAACGAAAAATGACCATTCTATGTAATTCTAAACAATTGGCTAAAAAGTACATACAATTATTTAAAGATAGATGGCAAAAGATTTTAAGCCTACTTCTATGATAATTCTTTTGGATTATCTGCCACAAAACTTTAAGGAGGAGTTCACACCTTTCTGAGGTGCTCTGATACCTTTGGCTTGAAAACATGTTTAGCAATTTGTTGGCTGTCCATCAATCAGCCAGTTAAAAAGAACCTAATATTTAGATTTCGATTTAAAATAAACAACAGGGCAGACAAAGTAATCCCAAATGAAGCCTACAAACACTGGTATTCTGTCTCCAGCACAAGCATCACTCCAAACTTTTTGTTGCTGAATTTGAACGAAATTGGTGTGTGTGTGTGTGTGTGTGTGTGTGTGTGTGTGTGTGTGTGTGTGTGTGTGTGTGTGTGTGTGTGTGTGTGT